CTCTCTCTCTCTCTCTCTCTCTCTCTCTCTCTCTCTCTCTCCCCCTCTCTCCAAGAAAACAATAGAAATCTGTAGAGCTGCTCATTGCTGTGCAGACAGAGAAAGAGGGCAGAGTCCCTGCCTGAAGGACAAGACTGAGAGCCTGGTACCTGCGCAGCAGACAAGCTCAGGACCTGCTTGCCAGGTCAAGATGTAAAGCTGCCCAAACCAGGACACCCTCCACATAGCCACACACACAAACACACACACACACACACACACACACACACACACACACACACACACACACACAGGAGCAAGGGCCTGTTTATTGTCAGTGTGGGGCTATTAGACTTAATTACAGCAAATTCCTAAGCGGAAACACTGAGTAATTATGTAGGAAAAGCGATTCTAAATGAGAGGCTGTCGATCCTAGCTACAATCAGAATTGCCCAAGGCTTTGAGCTTTGAAACATTAGAATTCTGGGCCCCAAACAAGAGACTATGATTTCATTGGTCTGGTGGAAGAGGAAAGGTGATAAGAAATTTTTCAGATCTCTGGTGTACTAACAGGAAGTCAGAACTGAAAGCCACTGGTTTATCTGAGTGAGCCTAGAAATTCTCCAAGTACTGAGTTACAAACAAACAAAAGGTAGGGCTCATGTAGAAGTAATTCATTTCATGTGTTCATATGTATATGTGTGTACATATGTGCATGCTGCAACAAAATGACAGGAGCCTCGAGTCCCATCCACCAGCTCTGGCTGCCCTCGCTCTGGACTTGATGCTATGTGGGAATAAGGTCCCATCACTTAGGCCTTCCATACACTTGGGCAGACAGAAACCCTAACTAACAGAGGGACCGTGCTAGACAAGCCAGAGGGTCTGGACCAGGGTCAGGACTACTCTGGAGCAGGTGGGTCTGCAAGTGAGCCCACCCCCGGAGACCCGGCAGTGCTCCAACTGCAGATCCGGTGGCTGCAAAGGAGACACGGGGCCCATTCCATGGGAAACACTTTCTGGCCTTTGCAGAAAACATCTGCCGAAGCTACTCTAGAGGGTCCCCCAGCCACAGCTGCAGCAACTGGGGTAGGAGTGTCCTGACACTGCTTATTCCCCGTAACACTCCCATTCAAAAAAACAAAAACGAAAACAAAACCCCTTCCTTACCAGCTGAGGTAAAGAGTCCCGGAACTTGCTGTTTAACTGCTTCACAAAGCATCGGGTGATCCAGTAACAGTCGACACTATCCTCCACCATCTCTTCCATGGCTTTAGCGATGGCCAGAAAGGCTTCATCCTCTGGCTCCTGAAAGATCAGTGAGAAAGCTCAGGAGGGAGGCGGCAGAGGGGAAGATCTGTTTCTCTCCTGATAATGTAATACTGCATCCTGAAGAGGACACATTCATAAATCAGGGAGGCATGAGAAGGTAGCGAGTCAGAAAGGAGAAGAGCGGGAGAGAGCAGGGAAGGACGGGCAGCTACAGGGCACCATGGCAGTCAGAGTGGCTGAACAGCAGCTGGCTCTCGGGTGGGGTCCGCTGCAACCACAGGCAAGGCAGGGTGTCTCTCCACCCAGCCAGTCTCCACGCTAGACCAGGGCTCCTTCAAGGGGATGAGATGACACAAACCAGTTAGGAATACGTGCAGGACCCGGCTTATGAATACCGGGGACTCCCAATGGGCTCACAAAACACTGCTTTCCACAAAAGCTTCCATACACAGCTTTAGAATGCTGTTCTACCTAAAAGTTTAACAGCCCAGAATCAGAATTTTAGGAGCAGGAGAGTGACATTTCTCAGATCTGTTCATATTCAAACATGAAAATAAACCCTCTGAATCTTCTAAAACTGAACTCTGTTTAGAAAGTTATTTTGTTTTCAAACATTGCCACCAATACCAAAAACCAACAAACCAACTAAACAACAACAACAACAAAAAAAAAAAAACAGCCAAGAGGCAGAGGCAGGAGGATCTCTGTGAGTTCAAGGCCAGCCTAGGCTACAGAGCGAGCTCCAGGACAGCTAGGGATACATAGATAAATGCTGTCTCAAAAAAGCAAAAACAAAAACAAAAATAAACAAAAATGAAAAAAAACCTTATATTTTTATCTAGGCTTTCATAGTTTGATACTTTTAAAATTGAAAGGAAATTAAGAAATACCTTTCTATTTCCCTGAGAAGCCCCAAGCTAAATCAAAATTCCTGTTTTAATAAAAAGCAGTTTAATCTTAGGCTTTCTTTCAATCTTAGCTTGTAATATCCACAAAATGCAAGAGTCACAGAGTTAGGATTAAAGGAAATGTACTTCTCTAAACATTATCAGAGTACTGGAGGACACAAAGGACGAGAAGAAGAGAGAATCTCCAGGGATTCCACGGTCCTAGGCCTGGCCTGGGTGACCCTGCAGATGGCATGTCACTGGCTGCTCCCCGTCACTCTGACAGGTCAAGGGGATACCAATGCCCTTTGTCCAAGTGTGTCCAGCTGAGCACTCACATGCTCTTACGCCCAGATAACAGTGTAAGAGGGGCTGGTTGTATAGGGAAAGGTGGGAGACACCACATTCAGACAGCAAGAGCACCTGAGACTGCAGGGAAGGTCTGGGCTCGTGGACCAGTGGGCAGGGACGAGTGGAGGGCATGCCTAGAGCTTAGAACGCTTACACTAACAGAGTCGCTAACCTTATCTGATGTGTAATTCAAGAACGCACAGCCCTTCTCGTGTATGGGCTGTAGTCCCAGCTACTCCAGAAGCTAAACTAGGAGGACCGCAATGGGGCAACTTAGTAAAAGTAAAATAAAGGATGCAACTGGATAACTTAGTAAAAGGTAAAATAAAGGATGTAGCCCAGTGGTAGAGCATTTGCCTCGCACCTAAGAGGCCACAGATTCAGTCCCAGAACCACAGAGCTCCTGTGGTACTATCAATGTCACAGTGCTGATGCTGAGGAATAGGAAGATGAGATTGTCCTAGATGGCATTAACATTTGGGGCTCTACTGCCTCCTCACAAATGTAATGATAAGAGTGAATGGATGGCCTTCATTAGTGCTAATTTGTCACAGGAACTCTATTAACTTTCTACAAATATAATATGTATAATAAGACATATATAAAATAAGTCAATTTTTTTGAGGCAAGATCTCACTATGTGGCTGGTCTCAAACTCAAGAGCCCCCTCTCAGCCTCTGAGTACTGGGTTAGAGGTGGGTGATGTTACACTTGGTACAAAGCCTAATCTTCATTAAAAACAAATTTTGTAGATAATCAAAACTTTTGTACAAATCCTTGCTTGAAAATTTCATCCTGTTTTAGCCAAATAAATTAAACCTTCATTAAAATACCTAGACAGTTGCAATAAAGTCACCAGGAATGGCTGACAACATCGGCTGGATCATGAGCCAGAAGCAAATACCTCAGGATAATGGGAATTTTTTAATATCTGCAGCTGTCCTAGGGAAGGCTAAAATGAACTTGTAATACTGGGTTGGAATTGGACTTATCATCATGAACCCAGGATTTTGATTATAATACAGAGAGACACAGACTAATATAGAAAGGCTGAGGTATAACTCAGCAGTAGTGCACTTGTCTGGCATGCATGATGCTCTGGGTTCCACGCCCAGCAGCATCTCTATTTTTTTACACACACAGAGAGAGAGAGAGAGAGAGAGAGAGAGAGAGAGAGAGAGAG